TAAAAAATTGACCGAATGATTGTTTGCCGATTCGATAAGTTTCTGATTTCGGTAATGAGCGATTATGTAATAATGTGCATATCTCGTTAAATAATTGTGATAATATATATCGATATCACTATTTTATTTTTGTGCTTCAGATAAGTTGAATATTAAAATGTTTACTACAGACGAACAAAACTAAAGGATCCTTTAGTTGTTAGCGTTAGTTCAACCGTTCCAGTATTTCCATATTTTGATCTGATTCATACTAATTTCTTTTTGGTTTACATTTAAAAAATTCATTATAATTTATCGTATTACATAAATGATTAAATAAAATACTTTTATAGATTTTTCTGTGAATTTGTTGATTATAATTTTTAACGCAGTTTCGACAAATATTAGTAAAAACTTTGTTGTTTGGAATCATAATTTGAGTTATATTTTCTTTAGTACAGTCAATAAATTCTTGTTCATATTGAACTTTTTTCTATTAGCGCCTCTTCGTGTCATATATTTATTGTGAAAGATTATCTTATATTCTTAACCCTTTAAATCAAAAGTTTATCACTGCCGAATCAAAAACTTATCGAATCGGCCAAATAATCATTTGGTCAATTTTTTTACCAGATGTCCCAAAATTTATGAGAACAGCTGTAATAAAAAAAAAATATTTAAAACCCACCCGGTTATTAAAACATATAAAATTTTTTTTTAGAAGTTTTCAAATTTTGACCCGGCCGGGTCATGAAAACCAATTATTTAATTTTGCATGGCCTTAGTTAGTCAGGAAATTGCAATAATAAATGTAATAATTGTTTGAGAACAATAAGGCTAAAATTAAACAAGTTTATTAAAAAACAATATTTTTAATTTTATATAAATAAATTAATTGCTTAAATTAATATAAACTATATAAAATAATAATTAATTTATACAATTATCATAATAAGCTCAATCAATCAAATAAAAAATAAAAATCTTTTTTGCTGCATAATATCAAATATAATAAAAACTATATAACAATATTAAATATTTATGAGTTAATTCTTAAAAGATCTATTATTTTTTCCAATACAGGATTTCCACCTAATTTTTCAATTTTTTCTTGAACCATTTTTTCAGTTTTTTCTAAATAATTACGAGTATATTCAAAAGAACCAGTTTCATTCATTATTTTGACAGCAAATTGTTTTAACTCAATAGAATTTGTATGCTGTTTCAAAATATCTAAAATATTATAAATCAAAAATAGTTAAAGACAATATAAAGTTTTTAAAAAATTAAAATAAAATTAATACTATAATTAATATTATATAATAAGGATACTGATTAGTCTTCTATCATTAAGATCAGTATTAATTGAATGTATAATAGGAAAAGAGAATTTTCCTTCTGTTAAATCTTCGCAATAACCTTTGCTGTCAGTATACTGTATAAAATATAAAATGTTTAAATTAATTTATTATTTAATTTATAAGATAAATAAAAATCTTATCTATATAAAAATTACCTTTTTAGATTGCAAATTCATGTAATCATCACGAATTTGAAAATGGATGCCAATATCATCTACTAGTGGTACATAATCTCTGTTTAGAAAAATCAAATAACACATTATTCAAATAATTTATTTAAGAAACAAAAAAAAAACAATATATATATATATATATATATACATTTCTGACTCACTACACTGTTGCATAAGTCTAACGGCCAATCTTAACAGACCACCAGTTTCTAAATGAAGAAAAATTTACAAGATATATATATTTATAATAATATTATTATTTGTTCAAATAAAAATGAATCATACTGTTTGAAACCATATCAATGAATTCAGCTTCTGAAGGGCATGTCAATGTATCTCTCCAGTATAATTCCATTCCTTGACCACGATGCAAATTTAGTAATTCAGCTATAACAATTAAAAAAGGGGTTAAAAATAAAGAAAAAAATACTTTTAAAAGGATATATAAATATACTTTACATGTATAAATCTTGAGCATTTCTGGATTATCAAATTTTGTGAGTTCATGTAAAGCAAGGAAATAAACATAGTTCGCGCAATTTATAGTTGCAGGCACACCGTATATTGAATGAGCAACTATAATAAAGAAAGTTATTTTATAAAATTATTATGTAAAATTAACAAGATATAGTAGTTTTATCATTGTCGCAAAATAGTCACCAGGAACACCACGACGTAAAACAGAATCGTCTTCTACATCATCGATTCTATTTTTTTTTTAAAAAAAAAGATTAATTTTTATAAAATTTAATGAATGTAAAAGCTTTTACATACAATAAACTAGCAGTATGCAACATTTCAACCACAGTGGTAATAGCGGATAATTTATCTTTAGGCACATTAAGCCAATGATCGAAAGCTTCGATCAGCTTGCTCCTAATTTCCTTTCCAGGATGAGACAAGAGATAATTATAAGGTTCTAATAAAATCTTTGTTAATATCATTCAATATAAACGGAAAAAGCGGAACAATTAGCATTAACAATCTTAACGTTAAAATATTAAATATCGCATGAGAAATTCTTTACCTCTTCCGCAGACAAAGAATGTAAGGCAGGTCGAGTAGTAGAAGAACCAAATTTTCTATGCTTATTAGAATTCATTTTTTTTTTTCAAAAACCAAAAAGAGTTTTTTTCAAAGTTATATTGAAAACCAAAAAAGAGTTTGTGGGATGAAATATAACTTGGATCTGGATGTAACCAATGAATCAGTGTTGAAAATTCGGCACAAACATTTTGTGCAAGAAAATTTTTTTTATACAGGAATATTATTTTATTTTTTGTGCAATGAATGAGTTTACAATTCAGGAATCCCGTAAATAGGATCATGAGAACCAATAAGATCAAAGAAATTGGAAAATTGGCTTACCCATAAATGTGTCTATCGGGTTTTTGTATATTCAAGATTAACGTTAATCTTATTTTACGTCATTGTTATTGGGCAACTTAATAATAATATATAAAAACATAAAATTTTCAATCGACAAAGGGGAAATAAACAAATCAGAAAAAATTTTTAAAATTTTTTTACACAGCATACTGATACAGTATACAGTATGATGCAAAGTTTATCAGAAAGTGACATTTATTATACAATAACAGATCTTTTTTTTTTTATCGTTCTCATTCATAGTAGAGTGCAATGAAGTCTACAGATCTTACTGAGTTAAGTATGCAAACAATTTGTACACTTGCCGGAATAAAGCTTGTTATACGTTACAAAGAATATATAATTACATTAAAAAATTTTTATTAACGTAATAGAAATATAGCCGTGATTTGGTAAAGCCTAATTTAAGCTTAGTTACAGAAATCTGGAACAGATTAAGGCCGAAAATTATTAAAGGCACAACATTATACCACCAAAATCTTTTAAAAAAAGTGCTGGAATAGTAATCCATCGGAACACTATGAAACTAAAAACTGACAGAGGACAGAAAATTATGATAACGCTAATCTTGAAAGTAGAGATATATATAACAGTGAATTTATTAACTATATTAATGAGCAGCCAAAAACTGATCAGCAACAAAAGTAACCAATGTATAATTTTTGATAGTGCTAGCCTAATCATTAAAACAAATAATGTTGGATGTAAAGATGGCTTCCCGTCCAGATTTACAGATTATTAGGTAAAAAAAAAATTAATAGTCTGAAATCAGTATTATTCTTGTTTGGCTTGGAAAACTCGATGTTACTCACGATTAATTCGAGAATTCAAGGGAAGACAAAGACTTAAAAAAAAATTTTAAAATAATAACTGCTAATTTTTATTCGTAGTGACATTTTTACAATCATATAATAATTATAGTCTGCAAATCAGAATTGCCGATAATTTTTTTTCGTTTGATAAACGTGTTAGTTAATTTATAGATTTCTGGAAGTCGATTATTTTTTGAAAATAAATAATAAATCGAAGCATTTTTAAAACGATTATCAATAATTCGCTACAAATCATTCAAAATGTATTAGAAATTAAGAATTTAAATGGAGAGCAAATATAATCTAAGAAGCTTTCTCTAATAAGCAACGAGCAATAAAAACTTGAGATAAAACCTAAACCATCTAAAATAATATCGATATATTTTATTTCACATCGTTTTTGTATAAAAGTATATATTTAGTTAAAACCAATATTTTTTAAATTTATTTTAAAAAATATTCAAATAATTTTTGTAGAAAATACAGTTTAAAAGATAAGAATCATTGATGTTTGTATGATAAAAATTGAAATGTATATATTTGCAAGATATATTAACAGACTTTCAATATTCTGCATAATAATACAAATATATATAGATATCAACATTGGATTATTTAATCCCAAACCTACCTCAAAATATACTTAAATCCAAATTTCCACATCATATTTGTCTTGACACCATTATCTAGCCCGAACTTAATTAGCAGCGATTATTCAAATAGAACATAAAAAATTATGAAATTTTTGACTCAATAAAATGTATGGTAAAGTTGTTTAATTAGAGTGGTGGGCTAATTCTAATAATGTTTGTGACTATTATTCCGGATTGTATTCAGGCCTACAATGATGCGACCAAAGATTAATTCTTGGAGGTGTATACCCTACCTGAATTTGTTTCAGCAGAAATGTTTTCGAAGCTTTTTTATAAAAAAAAAAAAAATTTTTAATAAAAAAAAAAAAAAAAGTCTGTAATCACTTTCTGAGATTGACAAAAAACAAATGTCTCTCAAATACAAAATATTAGTCTATAAAATAGCATGCTGTGCATATATTATTGATCTGATTTTGTAATAATCGTCCGATAATGAGCCTTCCAAGATCAATTGTCCGTTCGGAGTCTAAATGTATGAAATCACAGAGAAACACAATCTTAGTTTATAATTCACCGAGACTAAAACTTAAATATAGACATGCAATAATCTCCCAAAAGAAAGGTACATATACCTTTCGGACGGCAACTTTTTCATTACACACTAATACTCCTTCGTCTTTAAATTCTGCCGTTATGCCTTCTGATTGCAATACACGTTTTAATTCCGTTAATTTAACTTCACCAACAAAGACTGGATTATGAGTACCAGAACTTAGTTCTTCTATCGGCACCACATCCAATACTGGTAGGGATGAATCTGGAGGAAAGGAAATTTTTCCGTTTACAAATGCAATATCATAATCTTCAAGCTAATTATTTATATAAAAAAATACATATATTACATGGCACATATATTCAAGAATAGAAAATAGGGCTTAGATAATAAAGATTAATTGAGTTTAAAAAATTACCTTTGAAAGTTTTAAAGAACTAACTAATGCATCGGTTAATTTAACCTGGTAAAAATTTATAGCAGCTGATACGTTTAAAACTTCTCCAACATCTGGTGTGTAAATATCTCGCGTCATTGATCTTATCGCCAAGCAGTTTTGAGCAAAATCATTAGTTGCTTCTGGCGACGCATGAACTACAATCTAAGAATAGTTAAAAATATCTTAATGTTATGTAAAAACCTCTTAAATACACGACAAATTTGCAAAATTATAAAATGTATAAGCTAACCAACTTTCTAGGTTGAACCTGAGGTACAATAGTTTTAAGAGATCTACCATCATTCGTTCCTTCTAAATCAATAAATCTTACTTGGCACTGAAACTTAATTTCTTTTTCGAAAGATACATATTTTGTTGGAACATTTGACTCCGGAAAAGTATTCATTGAATCTTCTCTATCGAACTGATAAAATTTTTAAGATTCTTAGCAAACATTTAAAAATTTTAAGCTTCCAAAATAGTGCAAATCAATGCAATAATTCTTACTTCATCTTTGTCACTATTCATATCAGCTTTGTCTCCATTAACATCACCATCTCCTGCATTTTCATCTCCAATTCCCCTAGCGAATTGATCCACTTG